GTAAGATATCCGGCCTCGGGGGGATGTGATAGATACCGTGGGCCGTGTCTCACCCATGGCTTTGCTATCAAAGTGTGTGTGTGTGTGCTCCCCCCAAGCATCAGTACCAAGGAGCTGCATGTGACAGGTCAGTGTCATCGGTTTGGGCCAGTAGCAGTTCCTCTCTGCTCTGCCGTTCCTTTCCTTCCCTCCTTTTCGTGTGGTCATGTGCACACTCTTCTCTGCTGCCTGGCTCTCTGTATGAACCTACACAATAACATATTATTGGATGGATCATGTAGACCTGTGGAGACTTTGACTGATTTGATAGAAGAGGCGTGTGTACAGGTAAGAACATTTAAAGGCTTTTTCCACTTGGATTGGTTTGGCCAGGTACCTCATCCATTCCTCCCCCTTCCCTCCACCTCACTGGCTCTCGCTGTTCCTGATACTTCCCCACAGTAAGTAGTCAGACCTAATACAGGCAGGAATGTCCAGTCACCTGCCTCTAAAATGCAACAGGCCTGTGTTATACTAGCCTAATATAGACATGCAGCAGCAGCCTGCTCTGAGAACACCTCACTGTCCTGTTCTCCAGATGTTTACCCTGCACCGTGGAATTTTCTTCTGTTTCTCCATCTTCTGCTTCCTCACATCAGAAACCAGCTGGGTGGTTCTGGCGCTGACTCGCCGTCAACAGGAAGTGCTGCACACATCACATCTAAGAATCCTCTTTCTAGACCTTGAGACCAGTTTGCCAAACCAATTTAATCACTTCAGGCATTTGGTCAGAAGGCTTCTGGGTAATATGTCTCCAGGCTGGCCAGGTAACATGTTTGGGTCCTGCTGGTGGACTTGTTGCCGGTACTTCCTCTGGATAATCAGCTGACTACAGGGACCAGAACCATGTTTTGTTTTCATTGCACCACCATCAGGATCTGTGCTCATGGATGCTCTCACATCCAGAGGGTGCCACACCATCACCCTGATTCTAGTCTATGACTACCTCTGTAACAGACCAAGGATTTAGGCCTTTAAACCAGATTAAATGTTCCTGTAAAACAGGGAAATAACGAGACAGACAACCATTGATGCTCTTCGATGCCATGCCTCTGCCATTTTAATGAAATCACATGTATTTTTGAGATACGGCATAAGAACTGTCCTTCATAAGCAAATATATATTAAACGTTTGTGTGCTGTGACCACAAAATCACCTACATATGTCCTGTTACCCTTTTACATGGCACAAGTCACAGTATATGAATATTTTCGGGACTTCTGACCTATTTAACTTGCCTTTTACCTCAAACAGCGCTTGGTATAAAAACCCATCTAGTTCAAAGGAATGAGAGTAACAGGCTTAGCTTTAGCTTTAAACACGTTCAATACATTTTCAAAACCCAGAAAAGCATTAAACTAACATTTTCAGAACCAGTAAACACACATTACTCACAGCAACATTCTTACACGACGTCAGGATACAAAGCAGCTTATTTAACCCAAAACTGTTTAAAATAAGTATAAAATGAATTAAAAATAGTGGCCGCAGCATCACCCTGACTAGCTTTTTCAGTCTTTTAGCTTTACATACAACAAATTACAGAGTTTACCAACTGGTTTATACATCCACATCTAGCTGTGTTTTATTTATAATATTAAACCATTTTTGTAGTTTTTACGTACACTCAACAAAAATATAAACGCAACACCTTTGTTTCTGCTCCGATTTTTCATGAGATGGACTTAAAGATCTAAAATTCCTTCCAGATACACAGTATTACCATTTCTCTCAAACATTGTTCACAAATCAGTCTAAATGTGTGATAGTGAGCACCTGTGCTTTGCTGAGATAATCCATCCCACCTCACAGGTGTGCCACATCAAGATGCTGATCTGACATCATGAGTAGTGCACAGGTGCACCTTATACTGCCCACAATAAAAGGCCACCCTGGAATGTGCAGTTTTTTGCTTTGTTAGGGGTCTGGGGTCTCAGAACTGGTCAGTATCTGGTGTGACCACCATTTGCCTCATGCAGTGCAACACATCTTCTTCGCATAGAGTTTATCAGATTGTCAATTGTGGCCTGTGGAATGTTGGTCCACTCCTCTTCAATGGCTGTGTGAAGTTGTTGGATATTAGTGGGAACTGGTACACGCTGTCGCATACGCCGGTCAAGCACATCCCAAACATGCTCAACGGGTGACATGTCCGGTGAGTATGCTGGCCATGCAAGAACTGGGACATTTTCAGCTTCCAAGAATTGTGTACAGATCCTTGCAACATGGGGCCATGCATCATCTTGCTGAAACATGAGGTGATGTTCATGGATGTACAGCACAACAATGGGCCTCAGGATCTCATCACGGTATCTCTGTGCATTCAAAATGCCATCAATAAAATGCACCTGTGTTCTTCGTCCGTAACAGATGCCTGCCCATACCATAACCCCACCACCACCATGGTTCACTCGATCCACAACATTGACATCAGCAAAGCGCTCACCCACACGACACCACACACGCTGTCTGCCATCTGCCCTGAACAATGTAAACCGAGATTCATCCGTGAAGAGAACACCTCTCCAACGTGCCAGACGCCATCGAATGTGAGCATTTGCCCACTCAAGTCATGGATAAAGGAAGCCATAGAGATAAGGAGACGTGGATGTGGGACCATGAACAGAGACGATGGGGTTTACACATTGGATCGTGCATGGGGCTGCATCATCAGAGAGAGGAGAGCGGGCAGCAGAGGGTGACAACATCCTCTGCTGCCCGCGGATAAACGGAGTAGGAAGTGACGCCACCATCAGCGTCAGCTCTGAGGAAGTTCACAGCCGCGAACGAAACTTTCAGCAGCAAGGTAAAAGGAAACCTTTTCAGTGTTTTAAAAAAGAACCAACAATGCTGTTAGAAAATCAACACAGTAAGAATATACCAAAAAACATTGGGTCCTCCCCCTTCCCGGACATTCCCCTCCCCTGAGATGGACCAGAAGTATTCTTGCCAGTACAGAAAGAATCAAGGTCCACCCGAGGCCCTCGAGCCATGGCCAATCACCGCCGCATCCTCTTGCCATCTTGCTGGCAGCACACAAGCCAGGACCTAATCCCCAGCCCAGCTCAGATCCCCACCCGGGGATGACTACCCCCACACCCCTAGCCACCATGCCCTCGCCCAGACCCACCCAGGGATGATACAGCTATCGGGCAGCGACCTGTGGCCACCGTCATGATCTTGTAGGGCCTCACACACGGCCACCAGGAGTCCACCCACTGAGGCCACCCAAGAACCACCAGAGTGGGGCAGCACCCCCAGTAAACCCACCCCCAGAGAACCTCGGGATACTCCAAACTTGTTTGTCATAAACATGGAGACTGATGCGGAGTTCGCTGCGGCTCTTTCCTCTGGTCTAAATGACTTGAATGCCTTTAAAACACCAAGTAGAAGCGCTAAAAGCCTTCCTTCTAAAGAAAGATGTTTACGCTGTCGCCAGACGCCATTTTTTACTACAGCTAAAAAACTACAGTGGTACAGTCGGCATTTCTGTCTTTTTTCTGATTGGTTATTTTTGAGCTTCCTAGTCCTGCCCCTCATGTGTCTCTCTGGCTGTGAGTTACCAGACTCTTTCTCTGTGCAGAATTAAACAGGACGAGTCTGGCAGGCCAGGCTACCAGAGCTGTAACTGTGTTCATACTCAACTAAAGATATGGACTGAGGTGCTATTTATACTGCAGGCCTTCTGCTTTCTTCCATCCCAGTCAGATGAGTAAGAGTCACTTGATGTTGCTTAAGGTAGCCTGTGCTGGGAAGTGGGACAAGCAAATTGGTTGCTCTGACTTTTCCAGACATGGTGGAAAGCCTCTGGAACCCTCTGTCTGGTTGTGTGGAGATACTTTTCACGATCTGAGTACAAACCCAGCAGAAACGTTCTCTAATGGGTGTGGAACATTTGAAACAGCTAACCACGATAATGTCGTTTTCTTAGTGTCGACCTTCCTGACTCCTCAGGAGGAAGGCTTTTGTTTACCTCTGCACAGAATCAGGCGCCTCACTTTGAGACAGCATACAGGTTTTGTGTGGCAGCTCTGTGTTCATCTGGTTACTGTTGGGTTTTTTGTAGTGGTTGGCTTCCTTGAACCACAAGGGCAGACTCAGTGACGGCAGATTCTGTCTTCTTTGAGGATGCCTGTGGTAGTTTTACCGCCGTCTGCCTGGCCCTGAGCTCAGAATGAGATAAGTGGTGTACCTCAGTTAGGGAGTCTAAATATAGAGACAGAGGAAAGGCACGAGGGCAAACAGGAGCTGCTGTTGCTGCGCCCAACCACCAGCTGAATGAAAGGGAGAGCAGGGAGGAGGCACCCTTTGATCTGTCTCTCTAAGAGCCAAAATTACAGAAAAGTGTATGGATTTGACATTCCAGACGTATTTCCTACAGATCTGCGACAGGTCACAGGTTATACGTCTTTTATTGGACTTGTTTGTTCCGTCTCTCACGCCTCAAGGCTCCAAAATCTAAAAGATGGTCTGCTCTCATCTGGGATGTCCCAGCATGAGGCCTCCAAGATCCATCATACAGGTCAGGAGCCAGTATGTTTACCTGACTGGTGAAGCGAGGCAGAGTCACTAATGTTAAGCTCTGTTAGGGATATGCTGTGTTTGGGTCAGGGTTGGGACATCCTTCCTAACACAGAAATGCTGGAAGTTCTTTGTGACCAACCATGCCAGCCACTCACTCCTGTACTGGTAACTAATACAGGCTGACAGGTGGCATAACACACACACACACACACACACACACACACACACACACACACACACACACACACACACACACACACACACACACACACACACACACACACACACACACACACACACACACGCGTCCCTGCTGGAGCCCTATTAGTATTCGCACAGGTGTTCTCATCGCTCCGCCCCTCCCTCTCACCTCACATCCTCAGCTGTAACTACTTACCGGTGCATCAACAAACACCAACCTGTGTTTCTTGTGCAGTGGCCAACTACAGCAGCGTGGTGGAGCCGGGCTCAGACTCAGACGATGAAGACAAGCTACACATTGTGGAGGAGGACGGCAGCCTGGCGGATGCAGCTGAATGTGACAGCACGCTGCCAGACGATGAGCTCCCGAGCGGGCACAGCTGGGATCTAGGTGAGACATCAGCAGCAGCCGCGCCGAGGTGTTGGTGTTTAAACAGTAGTTATGTTTCATGCTTTTATGCCACAATGAAAATAAAATGTATTTTAAATGAGTTATCATCGGTTATTTTATGTTTTTAATTAAACTAAACATCTAATCATAGAGCTACGGATCAAAGCTGCCTTGTGTTTAGTTCTGATCCCAGCTGGAGAGGTGAAGTGTGACTTCAGCCCTGACACGTCTCATTGTGAAACACCAAGCACGAGGAAGTGCTCCTCCATGCAGAGGGCTGCAGACTATAGCAGGAAGCTTGGGATTAAATGGAGACAATGCCAACGCTAGGAGAGACCTTCACACACAGAATCGCCCCCGCAGCCGTAGTGCTGACGGACAGTTTTACAACTCCAGTGGACTGGGTCAGGCCTAGGCATCGGTGGAGGCTCCCTACCACAGGAAGGGCTGAAGCCACACTTGTCCTGTTCTAGAACAATTGTGAGTGCTGAAAGATGTTGGTGTTTGAACCCAGGCTCAAGGCCTGGGGACTGTTGCTTAAAGGCTCTAGGTGCAAAGGCACAGCCGGGTGCAGCACCTTTAGCAGTTGGACTGGAGCTGGATGGCTCATTTATCAAGAGAACATGAAAACGTGGAGTGGTTTGTTTGACCTGGAGTTTGGTTGTTCTGGCACCACTGAGCAGACACTCCTCCTTCATCACCCTGCTCCTCCTCCCTCTAACAGAGGGAAAGGAGGAGGAGGAGATGTACAATCCACGCATCAGGTGAGCAGCTCAGGTCTACGTGGAGCAGGAGGAACGTGTGTTTATTACTGGGGGACTCTGTTCAGCTTGTTTGAACTAATTATTCGTTAAAATCAATAGAAATGTAATGGTATTAAATGCTTATTTATTATTATTTTAAAAACAGAAGTGAGGGAAAAATAAATCATGTGACCTCGGGCTGCAGCAGTGATTCATTTCATTTCCTACTTGAGTAAAAGAAAGAAAGCCAGTAGTCTTTGTTCAGGAAGACAGCGCAGTGGTGGCCACTGCAGGGGAAACGAAGACGAGGCTTCTTTCCATCCATCCATCGTCTGAACCCGCTTGTCCATGTGGGGCCGCGGGGGGGCTGGGCCCCCATCTCCAGCGGTCAACGGGCAATCAGGCGGGGTACACTGTGGACAGAGAGCCAGTCCACCGCAGGGCAACACAGAGACACACACACACACACACACAAACACACACACACACACACACACACACACACACACACACACACACACACACACACACACACACACACCTAAGGACAATTTAGACAGTCCAATCAACCTAACAGTCATGTTTCTGGACTGTGGGAGGAAGCCGGAGAGAACCCACACATGCACAGGGAGAACATGCAAACTCCATGCAGAAAGACCCCAGGCCAGGAAGCGAACCCAGGACCTTCTTGCTGCAAGGCAACAGCTCTAACCACTGCGTCACTGCGCAGCCCGACGAGGCTTCGTTTTAACACTTTAACCGTGTTTAATACGGGTCGTTTATACATCGGTCTAACAAGAACAAATACAAGAAAAATCTTTTCCAACAAACTTATGAGCTGCGCTTCCATAAAAATCCATGACTGGATTTCTTCTGTGTTCAGTCCGTGCACGATTACGTGTCACATGCACATATGAATTTAGAAAATTATACAAATCACCCAACCCTAGCAGAGACGTTCATGAGCATGGTTGGTGTTGAACTTTTATCATTTTAGGGAAAAGGTGGAGAGAATGATGACTGGGGGAGACCAAGGCTCCCTCACATGTTAAATCCAGCTGGAAGCAGCTGGTGTGACAAGCTGCACAGGAAAGGCCATCGTCCAGTCCTGAGGTAGGAACAAAAGGTCTCCCAGCATTGTGAAATGTTGTCTTCTGTCCGTGGGAGAACCTCTTGACCAATGAGGATACCCAACGTCTGGACGCACAGAGGTCAGGGGTCATGGCTTATGACCCCTGACCTCTGTCTGACCCATGGCGTAAACTTATCAGGAGGTGCCGCTGTGTCATACGGCAGAGAAACTGCAGTTGTGTTTGGGTGTTCAGAGCTCACAAGGCTCTTTAACCCATCTTCCACGTGTGCAGCCGTGCATCACATTCCTGCGTCAGCACATAAAGGTTTCATGTCAGGGGAGCAGCCTGATAACACAGAGCCACCTCAGCAAGGCTGGAAGCCCTCCCGGCCTTCCTCTGTACTGGAAAAACAGCCGAGTGAGACAAACAGCAGGAGTGAAAACAACATCACGTCGTGTCTTTACACCACAGAGCGCCGCTCGGGTTTGTAGCCTTGAGCGGAGCTGCTGGGCTGCTGCAGCCTGGTCAGCACTTCCTGTCAGGAGTTTTCATCGCTCCGCATGTCAGCCGCAAATAATTATTTCAAATGACCAATTTGATGTTACAGTAGACAGAATGACCTACTTACCATTTTTCTCGATTGCTTAAGCATTATAATCAATCTTTTAAACCGTAAAGCGATTTTTCCCAACATGCACACCCATTTCCCTGAACCACACGCACTATTCGCTGCTTCAACACCAGTCAGATTTGGTGAACTGTTACTGTCAAACTACACACAAATCCCTACATTTTTCAGTGCTGACACCATGTGGTTCATGTAGAAAACACTAGCAGTCCGTTGCTGGGTTTCACATGACGTTGCGTCCATGTCACCAAATGCAGATGGGGTACGGAAGTGGCCGGCGCTGGACAGAGCCCTCTTTACTCTGTTGACTGAAGTCCGCACAGCTTGAGCTCAACTAGCACACAATTAAAGCCTGCCGCACACGAGAGCAGTCTGCTGAGCCATGTGCGTCTGATTTTCACAGAGTTTCCCACCTCACAAGACGCTGAGGTGAATATCTGACCAGTTAGATATTTTCCACCTCACGGGGGGTAGAAACTCGTCGTGTGCGCACTCCTGAGCTGAAATATTCTAGTGGCCAATCAAAGCGTCTTCTCTGATCACATGATTCCAAGATGGCAGTCCCCTGTCTGCATGTCAGGAAACAAACAAAACGGAGACAGAGCTGGAAACGGAGGAAATGCCTCGACTTTTGTTGTTGATGAAGCGTCGCCACCACCGGCATTTCAAGGTTAGGAAAGTAAGTGTACGGTGGCTGGAAAGAAGGGCCAGGCAAGGAGTTTATGCCAGTTTACTCCAAGTGGTGCGCCTGGAAGACCCAGAATCCTTCCGTCAGTACCGCCGCCCAGATCCTTCGAGAGGGTAATGGAAACAGTGGGCCCATCGATCTGCGGAAACCTGTGTGGAGGAGATGACACCAGGATGGAGGAGGAAGTGAAAGAGGAGGAGGTGTTCAAGGATACCAGGGTGGAGGGGATGGAGGAGGAGGTGGTCTAGGACACCAAGGTGGAGGAGGTGAAAGAGGAGGAGAAGGAGGTCTTTGACACCAAGGTGGAGGAGGAAGTCTAATGGGCCATTCCCATCTGTACCTGGTCGGCCCTGCCCGGATAGCTCCAGTCGGCCCCAGCCTGGCCCAGTTGATTCCACACATCCTTGCTTAGGTATGCAAGGAATGCAGTCACAGACATTGAGTGCGTTTACATGCAGCCAGTAACCCTTTTGAAACCCGAATATTCACAATAACCCGGTTCCGCAGGTCCTTGTAAACACCGCCAAAAACCCGGATATGCTCATAACTGGGTTTTTAAAAACCCGGTTACTACACCTGGGGTAACCCTTTTCTAACCCGAATGTTTGGTCGTGTAAACACATATCGGGATATCCCCATCAAAGAGTGTGTTCTGCGCATGCTCTGTTCGCAAGGAATCTTGTTCTTTGAGTAGCGAGACGTCTTGTATGCGCCAGAACACCGGAAGTAAACAACAAGTTGGGAGCAAAATGGCGAGTCGCGGCACAGCACCACACTTTTGGAGTGACGAGGAAACTAAAGCGCAAACAAACGCGGTCGCTATCTCTTCCGAACTGGGAAACATTTTGTTGTTTTCACAGATACCGGAACAAGAAGAACCGGAAATGAGGCATATTGCGTCTGGACGTAGTCCATACGTCCTGATGCTTCCCCAACGTCCGCATTTAAATCGGGTTATGCAAGTTAGGGGTAACTCTTTCTATTTATGCTTGTAAACGGGTTATTCTGATCAACTCAGAAACCCAAATACCGACCTTAACCCGATCATGACCCGAATATTGGCTGCATGTAAACGTAGTCATTTTCAGCTTCTAGGTAATCAGCATGATAATGAATGATAATGAATTGAGCATGCCTTAAGCCCATGTGGGCTGATACGACCCACCAATCAGAGGCTTGCTGTAATGGAAGGTGTGAATTTGCTGTCAGCAGTGGGTGTGTTGGTCCTGGTCAGCCTGAAGCAGACCCCCTCAGAAAGAGGGCTGAAAATAGTCTTGTTGCACCCTGAAAAAAGGCAGGCCACCAAGATATGTAAGCAAGCTATGCTATCCGGGCCGGGCCGACCAGGTACAAATGGGAATGGCCCATAAGACACCAGGGAGGAGAAGGAGGAGGTGTAGTTGACCATGTCCTTGTCCGTGCTATGACTATGAGGGAGGCTGGTCCCCCTCCCCCTGGCTAGGGGCCTGGCCCAGACCACAGACAGGATGCTGAGGTGGAATGATGTTTGTAGTGGGTGATGTACAGTAGGGTGCATGAATAAAAATGCACCACTGTACATGCATTGGTTTTATCTTTTGTGTTCGTGTAAAAAAGGGAAGAACCAAAAGCAGCATAACATTACAACTATGTTGCAGTGTGTGTGTTTTTGAGGCCGTGTGTGTGTGGTCTGTGGGCAAAGTCTGGTTTTTCAGCAAAAGCAGAGGCGAAAATCCCGTCTGGCATAAAGTCGGGATAAAACAGGGATTTATTACGATGACCAGTGAAAGCCAAGCACAGCCAGAAAAACAATAAATACGTTTTTATTCATTCAAAGATTATGGCTCCTCCTCCACTGATCCTCAAATTGGTACTGGCAGGCTGTCGCT